AAGGGGGAGGGGGAGGGGAGGGCTGGTCTTTGGTTTCCATGTAGTTACACACTGGGGCACCGGCTCGTGTGGGGTGTTCTGCTCGCTGCAGCAAAGCTTTCTGGGCCTTGCACACACGTGTGCACACCTGGCTCACACGCATTAGCTCACAAAGGATCTGCCTCGTGCTTTCCTCACACACTGACCATTGCACTTTGCTTTGCTGCATGTCTGGATGTTCAATTACACTTAGCTGCATGTCTGGATGTTCAATTACACTTTGCTGCATGTCTGGACATTCGATTACGCTTTGCTGCACATCTAGACATTCGATTATGCGGATGACAAATAATTAGACTTTTTTGCACAAAAATCATAGCAACAACGCAGCCATAGGCAACGCAGACCTAACATGCTGTCAATGTCTAGGTGAGGAATTGCTCCTGTGAATCCGCCCTACGAATGGACGCATCTAAATTCAGCGATGCTTCACGAGCTACACACACACTCCACACTGAGCAAGAAGAAACGAGGTTTGCTGCAATGTTGTTTTTTGTTGTTTTGTTTTTGGAAACAGTAGAGCAATGCGGACGTTAGTCAACAGATTACATAGATCAGCGGTGGCATTGTAAAGCCTTATTACTCAATAAGGTATTTTTATTGTATTTAATTTTTGGTGCCAATACTGAGGCTTGAACTCAAGGTGTTATATACTCTTACTTGGCCTTTTTTGTTTTTTTTTTTTTGCTCAAGGCTGGTGCTCTACCACTTGAGCCACGCCTCCACTTCTGGCTTTTTGCTGGTTTGCAGGAGCTAAGAGTCTCCTGGACTTTTCCTGCCCAGGCTGGCTTTGAACCCCAATCGTCAGATCTCAGCCTCAGAGTGAGCCACCGGCGCCTGGCTTCAATACGGTCTTTGAAAATATACCCCCGTCATCTACACACATTTGACATCAGTTAGGGCAAAAATAAATTAATAATTTTGAAAAAAAAAAAACCAACCAACCAAACAACCTCTAATTCTCACAGCAGTCTCGGTAGGACGGGTCTTCGTTTTTAAATGACGATGAAGCCAGTCAGCCCTGGATTCTCTCTGGAGTAACTTCGGCCCTGGATTCTCTCTGGAGTAACTTTCGTCTCAGTAAGGACAGACAGCCTTGATTTCCCACTGTAGCGCTCCAAATTGGGATCCCAGCAATGGTGTGTGTGTGTGTGTGTGTGTGTGTGTGTGTGTGTGTGTGTGTGAGAACAACCATCTCAGGAGTATTTTCCTGCTTGGAGAATGCACACAATGGCCGTGTGAAGTTTCCCACACGCAGCCCAGCTCTGTGCAGCCCGCACAGCGTCACGGCCAGACTCCTTCACTTTCCATGTCTCACAGAAAACCTAGAAAAAGTCTAGCTCGTTCCTTTTTTTTGTTGTTTTTCCAGTGGGAGGGGAAATGCTCGTCCTGGGGCTTGAACTCAGGGCCTGGGCGCTGTCCCCCAGCTGCTTTTTGCTCAAGGCTGGCGCTCTACCACTTGAGCCACAGCTCCACTTCCCGCTTTTTGGGGAGGGGGGAAGATGGGGGTGTGTGGTTCATCAGAGATCAAGAGTCTCCTGAACTCCCCCCCCCCCCGCAGCTGGCCTCCAACCTCCATCCTCAGAGCTCAGCCTCCTGAGTGGCGGGCTGAGACTACAGGTGCGCCCACCAACGCCCGGCTGTCGGTCCTGTTGGCTGTCCCCGTGGCTCCTAGGGGGTGGGCCGGAGCGAGGGCCTCTCGCAGGGGTCTAGCTGCATCTTCAGCGCCCCGATTTTGTGGAGAAACCAGAGCTGGAGGAACTCCTCGGGCATAGCGTGGAATCCGGAGAAGGGCTGGACGTTGTCGTAGTAGTGGTGGCTGATGGACTGTTCATGCATGTCCACCGAGAAGGGCCAGAAGCCGTAGATGGCCACCTCCTCGCACAGGCCCAGGGCTGCGCTCACCAGGAACAATCCCGTGGACAGGCGCTTGGCGTGGATGCCCCGGTTCTTCCAGAACTTTCCGATGCTCCTCAGGAAGTTGGGGTTGGCAAACAGCACGGTCTGGTTGGCACCCACGTCGGTGAGCGTGTAGTACACCCGGAGCGACGGCTCGGTGCCCGTCTTCATGGAGAACGCGGGCATGTAGATGTAGCTGTGTTTGTAGATCTTCATGCTTTCCACGAAGCTCTTTCTGGACCATAGAAGGTTCTCGAATCTATGGACAGACAAGAGGCTCAATGCAAACGGGATGAGGGAAGAGAAAGGCAGTCGAAGGCCAGATCCACGCGCGTGCCACGTGGCTGCGAGACACGGCAGCAAAAACCACGAGAAAATCCAATCGGCCAAACAGAGCTTCACCCCGAACTTCCCAGCTACCAAGTAGCCTTTGGCCTTCTGAACCTCATGCTTTTGATTCCAGAGAAGGAAGAAGCCTTCGTAGAAGGCTCCAGAGTGGAAATGCACTGGACACTTCTTGGAAAAAAAAATATGTATCTTTGAAAAATAATTAGGTACTGCTATTGTAAAGGAGATGGAAAATAAGAGAACTATCTTTCCTGAGGATCACGGTTCGAAGCCAACCTGGACAGGAAAGTCTGGGAGACTTTTTTGTGTGTGTGTGCCAGTCCTGGGGCTTGAACTCAGGGCCTGGGCGCTGTCCCGGAACTGCTTTGGCTCAAGGCTGGTGCTCTACTACTTGAGCCACAGCACCACTTCTGGCTTTTGCTGTGTATGTGGTACTGAGGAATCCAACCCAGAGCACTCTACCACCGAGCCAGCTTCCCAGCCCTGAGGGTCTGATCTCCAATGAACCACCAGAAAACCAGAAATGGCTCTGTGGTTCAAGTGGTAGAGCGCCAGCCTTGACAGAAAATGCTCAGGGACTGTGCCCAGGCCCTGAGTTCAAGCCCTAGAATGGGCACACACACACACACACACACACACACACACACACACACACACACAAAGAGCAATGATGTTAATCTCAACCCTGAGTAAAGGAAATTCAAAGGGTCAATCTCATTATAAGGTATTGGGTGCTGGTGGCTCACACCTGTCATCCCAGCTACTCAGGAGGCTGAGATCTCGGGATCAGGGCCCAAAGCCAGCCTAGGCAGGAAAGCCTGTGAGATTCTAATTAAATACCAAAAAAAGCCAGAAAGGTGCTGTGGCTCAAGTG